AGTGTTAAAAAAATTAATTAAAGTGACATTTAAAATGTTTATTTTGTGGCATTTTATACTTCTAATTTGGGTTGCGTCATAGTGAATTTAAATATTCTTAGTCGGAAAAATGAATTTGATATATTATATATTCAAAATACATAAAGTAATTTTTGTGCTACAGTAAAGAGGAAGTATGAAAATAAATTTGAATTATATAAGAAAAAGGTTGTCTCTCGATCACTACTTACCGAGGAACTGGTTCATAGCTAGCGTTGCTATATATTCTTGATCGCACCTCTGATCTCTCTATTATTGATTGCATCACTTTAGAAATTTAGTCATAGTGGATTGTCTTTTGAAAAATACAAGAATACAAGTGCCAATTCAAATGCGGCGACTTTAGATCAGAGGATAAAGTAGCTACCTAACTTTATTCATATTTCTAATTATAACTACTATTTTATATGCGCGATGCGTAAAAAATATATGCCCAATATTAAAATTAAACATTAAAATCGTAGTTATATTAATTTTTTAAAAATAATAGTGTGTGTATATATATATATATATATATATATATATATATATATATATATATATATATATATATATATTGTATAATTCATATTAATATTATTGAGGTAAGAATTATAGAAATGATAATTTACTAAATATAACTATGATAACATTTTAATTAAAACCTAAATAAATTCAAATTTACCATTAAAGGATGTAAGAAAAAATATTATATATGCATGTACATGGTAATAATAATGTGGAATGATAATAGAAGTTATAACGGCAGGGATATTTTTGTCCAAAAAATTATGTAGTACAACTTTTATAGCACAAGGTACAAAAAAAATTAACGGAAAACATGGACATAAACTAGGGATATAACCTGGATTGAAGCTTATTATGTTTTTAGATTAGATAATAATTGGCTTTCAACTAAGTATTTTATTGGAATTCTTATTTCTGTTTGTACACGATAAATAGAACAGAAGGCCATGCAACCAATAACTACATAAATTGTGACTAGACTACTTCAATAACATGAGAAAAGAAGGGCATGAATCCCTTTGGGTAGGGAAGTATAAGCATGTAATTTTTTTTTAGTATTACTGACTCTGTTACAATGTACTCCGTAGTATATATGTTTATACATACAGACTTGTTGAAACACATACTAAAATTCAAATCTGAGATCTTTTACTTGAGAAGTCACAGATATGCTGCTCGACCACAACATGCAATTCAATTAAGATATCGAGTTTTTTTTTTTTTTTTTTGTAAGGACAACATTCAATTTGTGCATCACATTAGTTAATTTTCTTTGTAAATATGTTCAGCCAAGCAAACTCAAGCTTGCTATAAAGGCTGACATTATTCTCATTGTAGGTAGTGCGCGACGGTAAAAGCCACTAATGTTCCCTTGAAACCTAATCAATTTTATGATAGCTAACCAAGAATCACTTTCAAACTCAATCAGGATATTTTAGTTGTAAACTTTTAAGAACTAATTTAATATTTTTATTGTCAAATTAAAATTTGTAAAAGAAGATATTATTAAAGTTAATCACAATAAATAAATAAATAAATAAATAAATATATATATATATATATATATATATATATATATATATATATATATATATATATATAAAAGAAAGACTATAACATCAATTCCATCGGATACAATTTAAAAACTTTGACAGTTATTATACCATATATTAAGTACAAATCTTAAAACCTTTTACATTATATTCAATCCACTTTTAGTTTTACCTTATACAATATACATCGATTAACACCATATAATTTTACACAAAATGATATAATATCTACCCATGCAAGTGTGTATACATGTAGTCACCCCTCCAAGTATGTATACATGTATACACAAAATGATATATGCAAAGGAGTAAAGTTTGAAAACAATGATCCGAAATCGAGTCTCGCCAGTAACAGTGTGGAGGGCTCGTTGTGTGCAGTTGGAAATAGATGAGCTGGGATCATCATAAACATATTGGAATATATTAGTCAACATTCCAACTTTACCATTGCTAGTGGATTTTGAACCAACTTGAGGATTAATTGCAGCTAAGTATGTTACATTTTTTTTTCCTATTATTATTATTATTATTATTTTTTTAAATGCTACTGACTCTATTACATAAAAGTAAAAATCTCACTATAGTTAATATAATGGATTGCAACTTGCAAGTGAAAGAAACTTTCCTCTTCCTAACATCTTCATATCAAATTAATTAGTAGTGAAATTGATTAAATCACAAATAACTGATAAATATAAAAGAATGGTATTTTTGTTTACAAAATCATATTGATATTGATAATGTTACACATAGGATGTGAAAATAAAAAATAACTTTTTAAGGATAAGGAAAAAAATCCCAATTGCAGTAGTAGCTAGACGTCATCATCTGCCACGCAGAAGAAATTGACAGCCAAAACATCAAATTGAACGAGTAAACGTAATGAATTTGAGAACTTTAAGGAATAGCCCAGAAGCAAATATCATTAATTGTCTAAATACATATTATTGCAGTATCCAATATAGTGACACAACAATATTAACTTTATCTCAAACCCGATCACTAAGCATTGCCGGGCCGACACCGTGACTTTTGGCAAATTATGTCCTGGAAACGTGTTCAATGAGAATGGTGAACACAAGGCCAAACGATGTCATTTTTAGGCAAAAAAAAAAAAAAAAAAAATCGCGGATATGGAGTTAACGGCATGCATTGATCAAATTATGAATTTTCTGTTATGAGATTATGAATTTTCATAAAATTCATAATCTCATAACAGAAAATTCATAATCTCATAACTGAAAATTCATAATCTTATAATATAAAATTCATAATCTCATGGTTCTAAAGTGAATGTGTAGGCATGGTTCTAAAGTGAATGTGCAGGCATGGGTTTTCATAATTTATGAATGTCCGTGATTTTGGACGGGAATGTGTAGGATGGTTCCAAAGTGAATGTGCAGGCATGAATTCATAATTTATGAATGTCCGAAATCATTGTTCACCTCAAATTAAAGTGAAACCGCAAAAAATTCATAATCGCATAACAGAAAATTCATAATCGCATAACAGAAAATTCATAATCGCATAACAGAAAATTCATAATCTCATAACAGAAAATTCATAATCTCACAACTGAAAATTCATAATCTTATAACAGAAAATTCATAATCTCATGGTTCCAAAGTGAATGTGTAGGCATGGTTCCAAAGTGAATGTGCAGGCATGAATTCATAATTTATGAATGTCCGTGATTTCGGACGGGAATGTGTAGGCATGGTTCCAAAGTGAATGTTCAGGCATGAATTCATAATTTATGAATGTCCGAAATCATTGTTCACCTCAAATTAAAGTGAAACCGCAAAATGTGAAAATGAAAAAGAAAAGTCACGCAATTAATTAAGAAAAAAAAAGAAGAAGATAACGGTGTACTAACACCGTTGGAACCGTGTTCACCATGAATGGTGAACACGGTTCCATGGCATAACGCTCCTCGATTTTTCATTCGACACATCAATTAACTCATTTAATTTATTATAATATCATATTATTCATACTTTTATTCACGTGTTTTTTTAAATAATAATTATAAATATTATTCAAAATTATATAATTTGAAATAAATCACATATTATTGTATATATTCATTAATTACTTGTAAGTTGTAAGTTAACTAAAATTGAATTATTCGGATAATTTGATACTTTTTTTTAACCGTTGTGATTAAGGACACCAGTCACACCACTAATCCACTATGGGGATGGCTTGGCCTTTTATAATTGCTAAGCGCCAGGTTTTGATGGCCTTTTATGATGTCTAAGTGCCAAGTGCCAAAGGTTATATTTGGTGTGTATATAATATGGTTTTACTTAAAAAAAGGGATAATTTGGTAAATTTATTGTGGATCATTGTCTACGTAGCAACATAGATCATGTAGAAAAATGACATCGTTTGATTTTTTTTTTCCTGTTAATAATTGTAGACGGCAAACTCCATTATGATTCATATCAATCTCTTTCATTATTTAGTTTCATTTTAATTTATATACTTACAACAACATTAAAGTACTATTGTAATTTAATTACAGTTAAAAAAGTCGAGGTTGTAGTACATCTCTAACCAACTGACCAACGGGACCTCATTATTAAAGTAAATTTTTATGTCGATTCTCATAGCTGTGTGGGCCATTAATACAAAGATATATTTTTAATATTAAAAATATATCTTTTGTTTCCTAAAAAAAAATATATTATTTGATACTATACAAAATCATGTATTTCCCATGAATACAGATCTTGTTGTTAAAAACCCAGCCCAGCAAGGCCCAATAAGCTCGCGTCCTTAGTCCATAAGAGAGCATGGGAGGAAATTTGAAAATGGCCACTTAAAATGGTCCCGGCGGGGCTCGAACCCGCGACCTTCGGCTCATAAGACCAACGCTCTAACCAACTGAGCTACGGGACCTTGTTGTTAAGCATAAGTAATTTTAATATCTAAAGTAAGATGACCCATTCGCAATACAGCAATAATACAAATTCCATGGCGTTCACACCAGGTCTTGAGCCTTCTTCGCATATGAATTTTCACTCCCAATAGCAAACCTGTTTACATGAATCTCAACTGAACAGAACAATCCTAAGTTTGTTACCTGTAGATATGTTGATGCTAAGATGAGAGAAAACTAATGTTTTATTAGGCCGACCCAAAACTCACAGCGGATTTTAATCGTTGATATTGTGCAAATTTTAGTATAAAACACCATTTTCATCTATTTAATCCATGTGTCTTTTTCCCACAAAAAGATGAAAATGTGCTACTATAACTGGTAATGAATCCATGCAGATAATAGGAGTCACAGTCACAGATGGCAAAAGCTGAAAAAGGATTCACTCCACTAATTAAGATTAGTACAGTGTGGGAACAGATCATACATAGATTGTCTCATTGTCATCTTCATCATCGTATACCTAAATCAAGAAAAGCAAAGCAAAGAAAATCAGGGGGAGGACGGGAGAGTCGGTCTAGGAAAGAGAAGACGAAAAGGAAGAGTGGAGCGACGAGCGAGGGTTTTGGCGAGAAAATTGAGGGAGAAAAAATTGGGAGAGAGACCGTTTTATTAGGCTGCTTTAGATTTCCATTTATATCTTCAATTTTCACACTATTTTTTCTTCTAAACTTTGTGTTTTATATTTGAACTTTCCCCTTTTTCATCTGATCTAATATGTGTATTTGACAGCTCCCTAACAACTGTGTTTCACAGGAAAAAAGAAAAAAAAGGGAAATCTGAGTGCAAAGTTGAAAGCTTTATCTCTCCCTGTGTGAAGAAATATCGTAAAGTTACCATCTTTGCTGGATTTTGGGTTGTATTTCTTACCATAAAAGTTGCTGATCTTTGCTCCATCAGCTGTGAGATATTATGCGATCGTCTATAGATGCTGAATAGGGACGTGGGATTTTGCATTTTTCCTTGATGGGTGCTTTCTTGATTCTCCATTTCCCAATTTTTACTCCTTTTTCTTCAACCACCATATATTGTGTATAAATTTTCAAGATTTTGTGTAGCTCAGGGATATAATGGTGATGCGGTGGGTGGATTTGGTGTCTGTATGAAATCCCCTTTTGGTGAATTTTCAAGATTTTGTGTATGTATAAAGGTGCCCTTTTGGCTTTGAGAATTGATGGCAATGGCTCAAGAAGAACATGGGCAAAGGTGTAGTAATAGTAGCAGTGATGATAGGGGGTTGGAATGTGGTGGTTTTGGTAGATCTTCCAAAAGGTTGAAGCAGAAAAGAGTCCCACAAAGGGGGCTGGGTGTTGCTCAGCTTGAGAGGATTAGATTAGAGGAACAGCATAAGAAAGATGCAACTTTACTTTCTGCTACTGTTTTGTCTTCATTCCCAACAGTTTCCCAGACCAATTCCTCAACATGTTTGCAAATACAACAACAATTACCTAGTATTGTGTCGCCCGCTTTTAGGCCTCACCTATCTTCCCCTTCCATTCCCCTCCCACCACCCATAGATCTCACCTCACCGAGGCCCGCCTTTCGATCAATCCCACCCCCACATATACCCAAGATCAATGCTATGCATCCGAGCCCCGTTGTGCCATTGTCGTTGTCAAAAATGTTGAGTGTGGGTGTGGTTGAGAGGAGTTGGTCAGGTATAATGGTTCCGGGCCATGGCCATTGGCCTAAATTGTGGAACGGGGATGATAATCTTGAAGGAGAGAATCATCACCAAGGTGTCGTCGAGTTTAGGCCTAGTATGAAATTCCCCATTGAACCACACTCGCCAATTTTGCCTCTCCCTAGCATGTTGCAAAGATCAGAGCGACACGAGCAGTCTGTTTCTTCATCAATGGTTAGCCAACTAAATTAGTGCTTTGTAGTTTCTATGTGAAGGGAATCTAATTAGTTCTTGAAATTGCAGGTGAATGTCTCAACGGGGATCTCATCATCCTCGTCGTCATCATCATCATCTGTTTTAGAATTCTTGATGGAGCCCCCTTCAAACCAAAATTACAACGGGAAAAATTATGCACCTCTGTGGCCCGAGGAAGTCAAGGTAGTTCTATTGCCTGCATTTTGTTTGCTCATCCACTATACTGAAATCAACTTGCCTAGTTGTCTGTAAACTCAAGTTAAGGAATTGTGTTCTCTATGAATATGAATATGATGACACATATATTTAGTTATCTGGATCGTAGTTACACAAAAATATTGTTGTTATTTAGTCTTTAGTAGGTTATGAGTTGGTGGTTTCATCTGTATTCTGATCCTTAAAATTTCAGAATAAGATAATTTGGTGTGTCTTCTGATGCTATTATTCATGGGTTTATGTTATGATCTTATTTGGGTAATGGCATTTTCTGTTTGTTACCGATTTAGTGTAGATGGTTGGCAATAAGAGAGCGCGTCCCTTCTCTTCAGATTATCCACCCATCCCTGTATTTCATCGCAAATTTCCTCCTGGCTATGATCTTTCCATGTCTAGAACGAATGAATTGGCTTCGTGCTGCATGGATTGCCCGGCTAATGTAGAATCTCGAAATCTACCTACAAGGTGCTATATCGAACCCTGAATTTCACAGAGATATTGTTGAATGCATGGTGATCAAGTGCCTTTCTGCATCTTTTTCAGAGAATGCCCTGCAAACATGAAAGCGCTATCTGAATCCAACCCAGGAAGTTTTACCAATGGAAGTGGCGCAGATTTTCTCTCATTAGCCCCTCCATCAGTATCTTTGCCACGCTCAGATCCAAGATACCATTTCCGTTCCAGAAATTCATATCCCCATAATCAAGACTCATCCAGTCAGGTTAGCAACGCATCCATAAGGTTACAAGTTCAACTCCCAGTGGGAGCGGTCTATTGGCCTTCTTGGCCTGGTTTGAGCCAGCTAGTTATGGGTAACTTAGACTGGTTTACTGGTCCTTTGCTGGCTAGGGTCATATCCTCGGATAGTGAATGCTGGTTTTCCCAATTCATTTGGAATGACTTCTGGTTCTTTGAAAATCTGCAGGGATGTGCAGAAGAGCTTATTCAACGATCCAGGGTGAGTGCGGGATCAGATCAACCTCACGTCTTCAGCTTCTTCCCGTCACCTAGCCTGCAAACCGGGCAAGAAGATAGCCCTAAAAGCAGCAGCCATGAGGGTGAATCCAGTGAAGGTGTTGATCTTAATCTGAAGTTGTAGCAGTATAGCTCATCTCTTGTGGTCATATTCATAGTTTCCATGTGTAATAGTTGAATTGTTCATTGCTTGAGATGATAATTACCTCTTACACGGCAGATAATGTTCCTTCTTTTTTAATACATATATATCTCTTGTTAAAGTTTACAGGGAAGTAATAAAGTATGATTTATACCTAATCCTGGATTTAGAGATAAGAATGTTTGATTTTCTTTTTCCAGAATTATGTTTTAGGGGATTTTTCAACATCAATCAGATACACAGTTTTAAATATTAAAAATTGTTTATGTTGTGGTTTAGATGATAATGTTGTTGGGGGTTATATTTCTGGTGCTTATATTCCCAATCCAATTGAGTCTCAGTTAAAAATTCATGAATGTTTGATTAATTAGATTTTTGTAATAACTTATTTTTTTGAAAAGGTGGGGAGGGGAGAACCCAGCTAGGCTAATTCCTGGCTCTCATTGCCTCATTGGTAAGGCAGCTCTTCGCAGCGTCAGCTTGGAGATAGCTCAAAACCTCATTCGGGGGGTTTGTGAACTCAATCCAATTACATCGTCTTCTCATTCGGGGGGTTTGTAATAACTTATTGTTTCAAAATGTTAAAATTTAAAAAGATGATCAAAGTAGTTTTTTTGATCAGTTTTTTGAAAAAAGTAAATTTGCATGTAATCAATTATCAGCTAATTTACCAAATATTTTTTTACAATCAGCTAATGCTATCAAATAATCAAATTCACTAATTTAATCAGCTAACACTTATTTACCAATCACCCCTATATAACTTTATTGAAATTGTTCTTGACGTGATGGAGAGTTTTGGCCTCAAAACTCTTACTAAAATAAAGTTTTGACTTTTGAAGTTACAAGTAATTTTATTAGGAAGGATGTATATTTACTATATTGTCTTATTTGGTATAAAATATTTTTGTTTTCTCAAGTATAGATCAGAATAAGCAATCAGAGGATTGGGGTAATTTGCATCTCTTACAAAAACAATAGATTTGAATCAAATCTAACCAATTTTAATTGATTCTCATTTAATGTATTAAAATAATAGAATATTTGATTAGTTTAAATGTGATTTTTGCTTAAATAATGCTAGATGTACACAAATTTTTATGATATTATGTGAGATTAATTTGTAATAGAGATGACTAATTACTTTATCACGTTCTTTATTCCATTCTAAAAGTTATATCTTATGATATAGTTATTTTAGTACTGTAAATTAGCCTCTATAAAAAAGGGAGGAGGTCTAGTTGTTGCAATATAGTTAAAGGTGTATTTGAAGAGTGGTTGGATCAGTCTATTGTTTCAAATTTCAAATATTTATTTGAAGACAGTCTATATGAATTGTTGTTATCTGATCAGTGTTAGAGAACATATTTGATGAGTTTTAACTTAAAAAGGGAAAGTGTAAAACTGTCATAATTGAGAGATTAAAATTAGAATCAAGGATCAAAAGTATTAATTTTTTTTAAAAATAACATTTCAACTATGTTATTATAACATAAAAGGTAACTTCTCAACCAAATATATTTATATTACATAAAATACATACATCAGTTTTAACTAATACAGAAATCTAACATTTTCTAAAGTAATGTGAGGTTAATCAAACGGTGAAACGGTCTCTAAGAGTATATAGCTATGAGTCTATGACCAACCGCATTTGAAATCTAGGACATATACCAAAGCAAGAGAGAAAGGATAAAGAAGAAATGCTAATAAGGAAGTCCAGAGTGGAAATGTAGAGCGCGTGCCTCCAAAGACACCCATCACAATGCAGACAATGAGGATAACCAGCACTTCCGATGAGAAGTCCCACCTTAATCCTCTCGCATAAACAAGTCCAAGGAACACTGACAGACAAAGAACATTGTTCATAGTCACTGCTCCATATATCTGCAACAACAAAAGATTACATTAGTACACAGACAAACCGTTAAGCTATAGCTAGTAGCGAATGCGCAACTTTCAAGGTGCTGGACTTGGCCATTCACTAGTACCTCGGAGAATGTTAATGAAGCTGTTCTGAGTTTTTTCCGGCTAGCAAAGATGATTGCTGAGACGGCCTCGCTAGAGTTGGTTGCCAATGGGAGCACGACGAATGAGATGAAGAAGGCGGGGATCTTCGTGGCGGTGGAGAAGTTGTCAACGGCATCCACCAGAGGATCTGCAAATGCAGCTGCAATGGCAGTCCCCAGTAGTAAGAGTGAGGCTGCCTTGATTGAGGTCCATTTGGGATTTTCAGCACCTTCAGTAGCCTCATCACTTTGATCCCCTAAAAGATAATGCTCTCTCTTTGTTTGCTGCAAGTACATTTTTACTGATAGTTGGATTGCACATTAATGTTTATATATTATATATATGCTCCTCAACAACAACAACATACCTCTTGGAAATGTTCGAAATCTGAGATTGATTCGGGGCAAACTCTGGGACCATAAAACTCATCAAGCCATTTATCTACTCCAGCAACGAATTCCTCAAAATCAACTTTACCATCATTAGAGGTATCAAAATCCTTCATAACTTTCTCTACCGCATCGTTTTCATCTAGGTTTACCCCATCAAGAGTGATTCCAACAACTAAGGCTTTTAATTCAGATTGTGAGAGATGGCCATCTCCATTTGCATCAACTCTTTTGAACAGCCTATCATAATTGTTTATTTTTTCCTCGTAAATAAATATATCAATATATCAACAAAATGTGAGTGTGGATGGGTTAGAAGCTTACTTTTGCAGAACTTCTATATTAGGTGTTCCCTGATCTGTGGAAAGCCTTCCCAAAGCATGCATTTTCAATTGTTTCAAAACCCCTGATATAACGTGTTTATGCTTCGAATAAGCAAGCCGTCTGGCTTGTATCCATGGTTGAAAGACCTGAATTAGCAATCAAAAACAGTAGCTAAGCAGAAGATCGAGCAAGAAAGGGGTGACAGAGCTTTAGATTTTGGCTCGAAAACATGCAAAATCATTCAATCACTAGCAACCTGATAAAGGCAGTATGAAATCAGAAGTGAAAGCGAAAGGACGAGAGCTATCAAGACCGTCAAGTGCCTTCCTGAAGACGAATGGAGGAGCTGTGGCAATTGAACAACGACAAACGGGATTACTGATACAGCCATGATCATTGCAGCATATCTTGTCCAGACATCAGTAGTAACACCAGAGCCTGCATAGACCCAACTGTTGATGATCATATATATAATATATAAACATAAATGTGCAATCCAACTATTAGCTCAGTATTATAGCTGAGATGGAACACATGCTTCAATTTGGTATCAGAGAGTAGTCTGAATAGACACAACAGGCATGAGGAGCTCACCAGTGAAGCTGTAACCTTTAGTGTCCCTCAAGTCTACAGCAACAGAATTTTGAATGTCACATTTGCCAACAAGCACGCAGGTCCCCCAAATCACAGTGAGAAGCATCACTGTGGACCCAGCTAGCAACCCCATTCCAACAGAGACCTGGCTCTGAGCTTCCACTACACTCCCAGATAGCCCAGACACTGAAACACATACAAGGAGGAATATAATATACATCTACCATTCTCAGATATAGTCAAAAAGTAAATCTTGTTACCTAGATGAAAACAAAATGAATGATAGAAAGAACTTGAATATAAACTATTTTGAGCTCCTAGGACCTTGATTGGAAGGGAACACACTATTTCAAAGGGGTCTATTTGGCACACCTAACTAAAAATTGATAGTCGAAAAGCTAGTAGCTAATAAGCTAACCACTTAAATTAAAGTATTGAATAAGCTCATAATGTAAAAAGGCATAAAAAGATAAACGGAAATATTAGAGTTTTGATTAATGAAAGTTAAATGGTGTTGTTTTTTTTGTTTTGTTTTGTTTTTGTTTGTTTTTTTTTTTTTTTTTTTTGTTTTTTTTTTTTTGTAAATTAATAAGAATAAAAAAAAAATTGCATTTTTCGTCCTTAAATTACAGGTAATTGTAGGATTTGTCCCTACTTGTCGATCGTGCTCACTTCTTTTCCCCAAGGTATAACTGCTGTTGCAAATTTTATATTTTTTCTAACAAGTCGTACTCACTTCTCATCCCGTTGTCCCTAAGCTATAATGTACAATTGACGTTGCAAATTTCATCCCTAATATTTTGTTAAAAAAAGGACGACATTTGCAATGTCAATTATATCTCAAGGACAAAAAAAAAAAGTGAACACAACCAACGAGTATGGACGAATTTTAAAATTACCGTATAATTTAAGGACAAAAAGTAAAATTTTGCAAAAAATAAAATAAAATTAAAAGTCAATAAAACTATTATTTTAAACATCTCATATTTTACTCTTATAGTTTAATTTTAATTTAAAACAAATGATAAAACAAGCTCTACCAAACATATACATAATTATCACGGGTTTTCCCCACTCAATATTCTACTTTTTCCCTTTTAAGATTTCATTCTATAATCTACCTTATCAATAGCCAATTCTCACCTCAAAAATATTATATTAAAAAAGAAAAAGAAAAGAAAAGAACAGAAAAAAAGATGATGACCTCAAGAAGCAACAATCTTAGCTTGAAGATCTGAATTTTCATTTTGGTCCCCACTCCCCAGACCCCAATCCAACTTTTTTTTTTTTTCTATCTAAAAGGACCACCATTAATAAATTAGCTTCCAGCTCAAATGTTCAAACGTATTCCCTTAAATAAAACTATATTATGTATATGTTTAAATTATTACTCCCTAAATTTTAATTTTTGACGTGTCAAATAAAAATGCTACGGAGTATTTTCTAAAATGAGACTAAACGTAATATTTTCCAAAGTATATTACCGAAATTGTCACAATTATGATGATTTTACCGACTCACAACTCCATTTAACAATGCTAATTTACCGACTAAACTAGGTCAAAATTTAGTGGAGCATCATTTCGAATTGAAGAAAAAGTATACCGAGAATGAGCATAGCATCAGGAAGAGCGCCGAGAATAGGGAGGAAGAGGCCGCCGATGAGACCGGGGCCGAGAAGCTGAAGCAAGAGCTCGCTGCCGCTGGAGAGGTATGTGGCGGCGAGGTACATAAGATATCCATAAACGATGATTAGAAAGATGTTGCCGAGAGCGGTGTTGGTGCAGGGCAGGAAGCCGTAGGTCTGCTTGCATTCACCGGCGGCCGCACTTCCCCCGTCGGACACCAGACCTAACGGGCGATCGGTGACGAGGAGACCACACGCGCCGCCGGAGAGGAGCAGGAGAGGGAGAAGTGTGAGGTACGTTTTCAGAAGCATTTTGGGAGGCATGACTTAGCATTCAGTTTTCAGCTTCTTTATGAGATATATGGTTGGTTGTTATTCAGTTTCAGCAGTATTAATTTAGTACGGGCCACCAGTATCCAAGTCGGCAAGTCTAGTTTATTCTTTTCAAAAGTTTCAACCCCAATCCCGACAACTCAGTAGCAGAGATTAGACCTTTACGTACGCACCACGAACCCCTCACTTGGAGAGGAGGTTGTCTGCCGCTGGTGAGACTCAATCCTGATCATTCTTTCCAACTTTCAACTCTATGACCAATTGAGTATGGGCAAATTTAATTTATTTATATTATATATAAGGGAAGTTAATAAAGTTATATATTAATCCTTTTTGTTTTTTCTCATTAAATTCACCAATGTTATCATTTTGATATGATGAGAGGGGCCGAGGATATGACTCTCACTTTATTTTATGGCAAAAGAAAAAGTCCCAACCGTTGAAGTTAACAAATAGTATAATATAGTGATGAATAAAATAACGCAAATGGGTTTTAATTTGACATATTCAATATGTTAAAGGAGGATCTCATCATAAAAATTTTTATTTAAAGAAAAATCACATATGGTGTTATTTAAGTATGGGTAGTTGTGCATGTTCTATCTAAGGACGAGACAAGCTAAGATTGCTATGGCTATCTAGATCTAGATAGACGACAGAAGTTAGGTCGTCTTTTTTTGAGATGACAATCAAATAATAATAATAATAATAATAATAATAATAATAATAATAAAGGCAATTTGTGATTCATATGAGAAGAGCTATGAATTGTAATTTCTTCCAACAAAATAATGTAGTTTCTTTTTTTATTATTAAATTATATTATTTATATTAAATTTTAATTCATACCAATCAAATACCTCATTACCTCATGATTCTCCTTAAAAATAATGTTATGGTTGACATTGATAAATTTGTTATACAAATTAAAATACAACCTACAACCTACAATCTACATATTTACATTATATCATTGGCACCAATTGCTTCTTTCATCAATAAATAATTTTTTGTTTTTATTTAAGAAAAGAACAAGTGCTATGTCGACCATCCTATTAAAAGGGGAAAAAAAGTGACCACACGTCGTCACCGGCCTATAAGAAAAAAGATTTAAACACCATGTGACCTTTTAAGTCTTTAATCCCCGATTCTCATGTCTCAAGATTTGTTTATTTTGTCGGAAGGATAATTCAACAATCATTATTGCATGGACCATGGTCCACACAACTGTGTAAATCATAAATAAAAAATACATTTTTAATATACTAAGGTTACATTATTTATGTACGTAAAGTACATTTTTTGAAAATACATTTTTAATATACTAAGGGTACATTATTTTATATAATGTACATTCAATACAAAAAAAAAAAATGTACTTTTAATATATTAAAAATGTACCTGATATTCGTGGTCCACACAATAATTTACCATAATTGAATGGGTAGAGCATAAATTTTGTATAAAAACGTTAAGAATTTTATTTTTGTCAATAAATTTTTAATTGGATTAATCGTATATGATATTTTTTAGTGTAATCTATTTTACTTGTATGTTTTACAGATTATTACACAAAAATAGAGTTTATCTAGTATCTAGTATAAACTCATACGGTAACTGACTTTTCTTGGTATACAAAATTTATGTTTTTAGTTATTTATATCCATGAAATACTCTTTTATTTTTTTTGAAGTGAGTTTTACTTTTATATTATCGCAATTTTAATTTATCACTAATTTTCTTTTGCATTTATGCAATTCTAAATAATTTTCAAATTATATTTGGTGTACTATGAAAACAATTGCAAATTTAATTTTATTAAAAATTATGTCATATTATTACTTTATAAAATTTTGATGATCGTTTTAGATTTAATATGTTGTTATTAATTATGTCTTATTTTTTGTAAAATTTGATGATTAAAAATAAATTACTATAGAGTATCTTTTTAGGAAAATACAATGTGTACTTTCATTTTTTACTCTCAAATTTTACTTCAACACACAAAATCTTGTTGATGTAGACACTTATATTGAGACTCATATGAAAAAAATAGCTTATTCTGTCACATCAAGGACTAAAATTGAGAGAGTAAAATTTAGAGTACATGTAGTAGAACTTATTAAGGCATAGTTGTAAAAATTAACGTCGGTCAACAGCTAGTTTTGCACTGGTAATCAAATTTAGACACAATCTTTGACACCTAAATTTGTACTAAATTGTTCGTCTACATTAGAAGAAGGTTCAATATAATAGAAATTAAAATAAATATATAAATAAAGAAATTGATTAAAAGCCAAGGACTTTGTAGTCTGATAGCACCACGTTGCTCTCTTATATTGGAAATTGTGGGTTCGTGTCTCAGTGAAAGCGGTATTGATTTATTGTGCTTTAGTATGTTGAAAAAGTAGTTATGAACATATACTGCATTGTAACAGAGTCAGTAGTACTTTTTTTTAAAAAAAAAAGTTTACTAAGAAATACTAATTAACTTTTTTTTTTGGTCTTAAATTTTATAGGAATTAATTGAATTGATAATAATATCATATGGGGTCCTCCGAGTATGGTGATTTTGCTACGTTTAATTCTAAACTTTCAAATTGATTACTCGTGATCCTTCGACATCCAATTGTTACAATAATACAATATGTTGTTCAAGTTAATCATCCATGATTCTTCAACTATCAAATTGTAAGTACTCATGATCCTTCCAGGAGGACTGCGACTAGTTAAATTTGAAAGTTGAAAGACTATGAGTAGTTAACTTGTACAATATATGGTAACGATTTGAAAGTTGAAGGACCACAAATGATCAATTTGAAAATTTAGAATTAAACATGACAAAATTACTATACTCATAGAACTCCACATGACATTAACTCTAAAAATTTAAATTGTAACTATATTGTTACACTCGAATGCCAGTCAGAATCTATTCTTTGAGTGTAGGTAAATTAAAGTTGAGTTCCCATTGAATTAAAAAAAAAAAAAGTTGAGTTCCCATTAGAACACTATTTTCACATTTGTGTTCCCATATCCCAAGTACAAATATATATATATATATATATATATATATATATATATATATATATATATATATATATATATATATTATCTACATTTCGTGGCTTAAATTATATCATGGAGTCATGTGCCAACGTTTACTATACATACTCTTGACCTAGTCTAAAATAATGTCATTTTGTTTAAATTATTGCAACTTTTTTTTTCCTCCTCTTATTTGGTCAACATTGATATTTAGAGTGAGTACATAATATATTAACGATAAGTACATAAACTTACATCTGTAAGTATATAATATATTAACTATAAATGTAGCACATCAAATAATTCTAATATTGTACTAAGTTCATAATATGTAAACTTTAAGTAAATAAATTTAAAATTAGAGGTTCATAAATTGAGTGGTTGACATGTAATCATAATTATAGTATAATTTTATGAAATATTTGGTTGAAAGTTAGCAAGTTTTTATTATTGACTTAAGTTTTTAATTTTATAATCTTGTAATTAACAAATTATGTATTTGTAATTAACAGATTATATACATGTAATACCAACGTGTTTTTGATTGCGCAAAAAAATAGAAGAAAAATAAAAATAAAAGAAAAATGTTGCACTAATTTAAACAAACAACGTCATTTGGGACCCCTCCCAAAAAAAAAAAAAAAAAAAAAAAAAAAAAAGTCATTTAGGACCATTGTCCATAGTGCACAAGGTAAACTACAATTCACGATATAACAATTGATTTTGTGGAATGAAACAAGAAAGTTCAATTCTATTAAATCAAATACTAATAAAGAATTTATTGGGAAATAATAATTAACTATTTTGCTCTTAAACTTGATGGAGACGAATAGAATTGGTAATAAAAAAAATTTAAAGTGGAAGTATATCGTTTCAATCAAATGTCTTAGTCAGAATATATTCTTTGAGTGCAGGTTACTAAAAGTTGTGTTCCAATACGAACCATATTTTCACACTTGTGTTCCCGTTTCCCAGGTTAACAAAACTAAAATAAAAATTGCAATAGTATTTGTATCTTGAGGCAAGACTAATCCAATATGGAGTGAGTAGTGACAGATATGCCATTGACTTGGGTTCATATTGTAAGGTGAACTCAAGATAAAATATACAATTTATATACTGAATATTCACAATTTATATAATGCTTATAATTTAAATTGTGAACATTCAGTATGTAAATTGTGAACATTCAGTATATAAATTGTAAATATTCAGTATGTAAATTGTGAATAATTAGTATATAAATTGTGTATTTTTAAATCTGGATCCACAGGTCCGTTACGGGAGGGGCTATATGTGCACCATTTTGATAATTGAGGGGCAACATTTACACCACTCATAATTTAAGGGTGACATTAATAATTGGCATATTATAGAGAAACATTTTTTACAATTTTCCATATATATATATATATATATATATATATATATATATATATATATATATATATATATATATATATATATATATATATATTGATGGAGATAATAAGAATGAGTTCGGAGTGAGCTGATCCAAAGGAATGCTAAAGAGAACCGACTTAAGGGAGGCCAAGACAAACTTGACCTCGCGGTCGGTCTTGCGGGCTCCAAGGCCATCCTTGGAGCGGGCCGACCTGAGCCCATTGGGCAGGGTCGGCATGGCTTGCTTTGTAGGTTCCGGCTCGGCTGCTAAGACGCTGTCAAACGGGATCGTAACTGTCCACCTCAAGCGGGAGACGTCTCCGCATTGGGTAGTTGCAAGGAGAGACTAGCTATAAAATAAAAGCAAGTTATTTATTCTCATATAAAACATGATTTGTTTTTATTAATAAATCTCTTGTACACTCATTATTACATAAGCAATATAATACAAGACACTTTTGTCTTTCTCAACCATTGTATTATCTTTACATCCTTTATCCTTAATTAATCGAAGTTGGTTAATTTGGCCACGGGTTAATTAATTTCACACAACACACACACACACACACACACACACAT